CTTGTTCACAACTTGATGAGTAGTCTTTGTATTAAAGTCATCTCAGTTACACAGTTTGAGAGTCTCTGTTTCTTGGAAGAGATGGAGCCATGAGCAGACCAGCTGAATACCCTCCCCTCCATCTATCCGACCACCTTCACTTGCTTGTCTCAAAATCTGCCTCCTGCAGGAATCTTGAGTCCAGCCTCTGCTTCCCGCATCTTGGTGTCCCTGCACAGCAAAGCAATCCCCATCCCGCAAGGAGCTGAGACAAGCAGCAGGATGGGAGGACAGCATTTGGTGGTTGGTCCAATGGCGGGATTGATGGAGGAGTCACAGAGGATGCCCTAGCCTCCAGTGTCACCAGTGGTGGGGCCAGACAGAGAATAGGCTTGTCAGGGAAAGGGATGAATTCATTCATGGTGTACTGAGCTGGAGGGGCCTATGGCATCCACATGGCCAGGCCAGTGAGCCAGGGAAGAGGGGAGTCATGGTGTGGAGGAACCCCCCAGGAACCATGCAGAGAGGAATGGGAGTGGGTCTAGGGGAGCCAGGCTGGCATGTGGAAGCAGCAAGAAGCCACTGCTGGGGCAAAAGGCAGAGAGAGGAGAGGAGAGGAGAGGGCAGAGTCCAAGGGCCAGGCAAGGCAGGCTCTCATGGGGAAGTCCCAGGGGCGTGGGCTGGGAGGAGCCTTTGGATTTGCCAGCTGAAACATCATGTGGGCCTGTGGTTTTTGCGGCAAGGAGGAGGGGGCAGAGGTGCGTTTGAGCAGGCGAGGATGACCGTCGAAGGTGAGTGAGTCCTGACATGGACGTGCTCAGAGGATAGCCTCGGATACGCGCAGGTGCGTGAGAAGCTGTTGAAGGAAAACAAACAAGGGCAGGAGGTGTATTGGGGGCTAGATTGTGTCCCCCTCACCCACATTCACATGTGGAAGCCCTAAACCCCATACTTCAGAGTGTGATTATCATTGGAGATAGGGCCTTTAGGGAGGTCATTAAGGTGAAATGAGACCATCAGCTTGGGGCCCCAATCTGGTACAGCTGTTGTCCTCATAAGGAGAAGAAGAGACACCAGAGCCCTCTCCCCTTGAGCATCCACACAGGAAAGGCTGTGTGAGGACACAGCAAGAAGGCGGCAGTCTACAAACCAGGTAGAGAGGCCTTACCAGGAACCAACCCTGTTGCACCTTTATCCTGGACTTCCAGCCTGCCAAACTGTGAGAAAAGAAACTCCTGTTCTTTAAGCTGCCTGGTCTGTAGTGTTCTGTTAGAGCAGCCTGAGCTGACTAATACAACAGGTACGGCCACCTGGCCTGGTCGGGGGCAGGTGGGGGAAGGACAGGAAATGGAGAGAGCTGAAGGATGGGCAAAGTCAAGTGGCTGAAAGGGTGGGGAACAGCATTTCATGCAGAGGGAATTGCATGTCCAAAGCCAGGCATGGAGCAAGCATGGCTCATTGGAATAATCAAAAAACAAGTCATTTTTAGAGTAGGATTTGCCTCTCTCTCTCTGTGTGTGTGTGTCTGTGTGTGTGTGTGTGTCTGTATTTAGTTTTTCCTTATGTTTTATTTCTTATGGGGCCTCAGATGCAGAGGGTTGTGGTGATCGTTTCCTGACCTCATCCCCATCTAGTGGGAGAAAGCCTTTATTTTCACTGATTTCTTCTCTCTTAGCTCCATACCCCAGCTCCGTTCCTCCCATAGTCAACTGTTCTACAGTTTTGACATGTACTTTTCAATTATAAAATATGTGCTGCTATTTGTATACATATATATTTTTTGTAGGATATATTGGGTCCCATATCTCGATTTTTCCCTGTCTTTTTTCTTTCCTCCTGTCCTTTCTTCCTTCTCAGGCTTGTGTGAGGTCTTAAGATCCATCATGCTGCTGTGAAGTGGTGAAATCTGTCACTTATACGCCAGGGCATTGCATCCCCCTCCATTTTCCCCATAATGGACACACAGGGTGTTTTCCTCTCCTTGTCCTAGGGTAGAGATTTGCAGAGTGTCTGATGAAGGAGGGAGCGAGACAGGAGGCCAGGAGCCCCAGGGATGGCAGGATGGGGAGGGTCTAGTTCAGGACAAGGGAGAAGAAGGAGGTCCTATGCCCTTGTGTGATTTCTCCAGGGACAGTGTGAGTGGATGGATTTGCCCAGGGTCGGAAATGGCTGGGACCCACGAAATGACAGGGAAGGGAGCAGATGCCGGCACCTTCCAGAACACCCTTTCATTTCACCCAGTGAGTAGGGGAGGCCCAACTGAGACTGGCTAGTTGCTCTGGGAGGTGGACCAGCTGGCATCCTTTCAACAGATTGTCTTTAAATACTTGTGGAACGCTTATTTGGAGGGGTGCAGAGAGGAACTTATTTTTATTAATAAAAATCGCATGCCTCTCTATGCTCAAAATAAGAGATTTATTATGTGCATTTATTATAGGTGATTTTCCAAACCAGACAGCATCTTGGGAGGCATATTAAAGAGTCTAAAATGTAGATAATAAAATAAAGCCCTCATCTGGGGTCAACAGCCCTACATAATACCTCGTTCTGTTTCTGAATCTCAGCTGGCTGTGATTTGCAACTTCACATTCCCTCTTGATGGCTGGAGCCAAGTGGATACAGCTTGCGGAGCCTGGCACAGAAATCTACGGCTGAGGTGGGTCATCCAGAGAATAGCGTGGTTTAATTTCCATTCCAGGCAGTGTCCACACTGGCAGGACCAGGGTTCAAGCTCCCATTTGGCCAACTCTGTAAGCTATCGTGACTGGAGACCTGTGCTAACTGGAGCTGGATTTCTGATTTATGCCAGTGATGTTTTTATGCCCTTACTGAGCTGTGTCCCAGGCAGAGGCCTGGCTGGCCACCCTTGACACACCACTAGAGGTAGCTGCTGTAGTCCTCATTTTACAGCCGATAGCACAGGGACCAGAATGGCTAAGTGACTTGCTAAAAGCCACATAACAAGACTGTGCATGGTGGTCCATGCCTGTAATCCCAGCACTTTGGGAGACTGAGCTGGGAGGACTGCTTGAGTCTAGGAGTTCAAGATCAGCCTGGGCAACAAAGTGAGACCTCCGTCTCTACAAAAATAAAAAAAAATTAGCCAAGCGTGATGGTACACACCAGCTACATGAGAAGCTGAGGTGGGAGGATTGCTTGAGCCTGGGAAGTTGAGGCTGCGGTGAGCTGTGATCACACCACTGCACTCCATCCTGGGTGACAGAATGAGACCCTAATTCAAAAAATGAAAATTAAAAAATGAAAAGCCACCAACACGAAAGCAATGAAACTGGGATTTGAATTCAGCTGATCTCAGAGCCCTGTTAATGCACTGGGCCTCATAGTGTATAAACCATGTCTTTTATTTTCTGTATTCTGATGCTTTCATGTCTGGGACCTTGCAGACCGTAGAGAGACTGCCCCTTGCCAGGGCTAGCCAATTTCTATAGATTGGAAACCACTCCTGTGAGTGTGACTTTCAGATGTAAACCAACCAGTCCAGATCCCACACCCCAACCACCTCCTCCATTGAGCTCTCAGTCAGGACCACTGTTCCCCTCTATGCCCCTAGACAACTCAGTGTAGCTACACTGCCTTGTCCATTCCTTCCCATGGAAACCACAGCAAAGGCTCCTACCCACGTGTTTCTGCCCCCTCTGCCTCCTGACTGACCCTGGTGACTTGCAGGGAGAGCTGTGCCTCTCATTTCTAGGGATCTGTGAGATAAAAACTTTTTCATTCATGACAGTCACTTCTTTGGGTCTTACCATAGTTGATTAAAACAAATCCTGGATCACCTTAAGAATGCATGCATTTTCTAACAATCAATATCCTGTTGATGCCAGGTACCTGGCTCAGAGCTTTCACCCTCCCTTTTTCTTTTTGGGTATAATCACATATAGTAAAATGCCACCCATCTTATCTTCATCAACCCCAGCACCACCTCCTCTCGTCCCCAGTTTACCCACAAGGAAACTGGATGGCAGAGAGGTTCAGTAATTTGTTGGACATGCAGAATAAACCAGCAGCTGAGAAGGAATCAAGTCAATGTCTCATCAATTCATCTGACTCTCTAACGACAGGGTTGGAAAATAGCCTCCCATTACTTCTCCTTGTGCACCTGACTGAGCCCTCTCTAAATTCTACAAGAATCACTCACTCATTCATTGTCTCACGTGCTCATTCACTGTCAGTGACTCTGCCTAGCCCTACTCAAGGCACTTGGGCAATAGAGAAATGATTCCAGTGTGGTCCTTGTCTTCAAGGCCCTGCAGGCCAGCTGGGGTCAGGCACACACAGAGAAGTTGGGGAGGCTCAGTGGAGTTGGCGCTGGACTGGGGGAAGCAGAAGCATCTGGGGACCTCCCTGGCCCCGCACGATAGAGGGAACGTGCAGCCCACAAGCCCCGGGCTGACTGGGCTCTGCCCGTGCCCTTGAGATCAGAGCCCTCCATTTCCTCTCTTGTTTTAACAAGCAGGGAATTTCCGCATCTTCTATGACCTGAAAGCAAATTCCACCAGCCCCTCTGCTCGCCGCTCTTCCCTTCTCTTTCCGCAAACTCCTTCTGTCTTTCCTATCTGATCCTGAGGGCTGTATGATGTTGTCTTTTTCCTGCAAATGATGATGTGAATCTTAGTGATGAGGGTATCCAATGCCACCTTCTAAATCATCACAAATATCAGCTTATCCCCTTATCTGCAGGGGATATGTTCCAAGACCTGCCGTGGATGCCTGAAACCTCAGACAGTACCAAACCCCAAATGCGCTATGTCTTTTCCTATATGCACGTACCTATGATAGAGTTTAATTTATAAATTAGGCATGATAAGAGATTGACAACAATAATAATCCAATAGAACAATCATAACAATCTACTGTAATAGAACAATTATAACAATCTACTGTTATTATAACAATCTACTGTAATAACAATTATAGCAATCTATTATAATAAAAGTTAGGTGAACATGGTTCACCTCTCTTTCAAAATATCTTACTGTACTGTACTCAGCTATTTCCAGAGCTCAGTTGATCATGGATAACTGACACAAGGAAAGTAAAAGTGGGTGAGAGACGCCTGCTGAATTGGGAAATTGTTAGACAACATTCTGCAGTGGCTGAACAGTGGAACACCATGTTGTCATTTCAGTGCTATACAAGAACATTAACTGATGTGGAAAGCTGTCCATTATAATAAAGTTCAAAAAGAACTTGCAAAATACAAGATGCATTATGATCCCCTTTGGTATAAATATTAGAAATATATGCATCAGTGTCTAAGGATTGGGATTCAGGAGGTTTCCCTTTTCTCCCAGCTCATTTGTGGTCCTCTCTATTTCCGTAAGAACAGGTATTGTGTAAAACAAACACATTTGCATTTACTATGGCCCCTCCCTGCTTTCTACCAAGTCTGTGTTACTGGGCACAGAGATGGTCCTGGAAGAAGAGCGATCTTGGGAAGGAATGGGCCTGTTCCAGGAGCCGGGAATGTGATTGTCTGCCCTTTTGCCCCACAGTGATCCCTCCAGGTCCCCAGGTCAGGTTAAGAGCCCTGTCACAGCAACCTTTGGGCTGTTGTCCACCCCCATGTCAGGCACTAGAAGGTTCATCTGTAAAGTAGAAATAATTGCCTCCACTCTCCCTGTTGGAAATTGAATGGCTTTATGCACATAAAGCACCCCGAGGCCTGGTGCACACTAAGTGCTCAGTAAAAGCCCAGCCATGGGCACCCTACCTTGTGCTCTTCTCTCAGCTGTCCTTGTGCTTCTCTGCTTCCATTCCTTATTCCTCCTCACTCCGTCTTTTCTCACCCTCTGTCTCTAGTCCTTACTCCCATAATCTCTTCTTTGTTTTGCTATCTCAGCAGGACAGGAGTGTCAAGACCAAGTTTTTTCCCAATGGTGTTCTCTCATCGAAGCCTCATAATGTTGCAGTCAAATCAATGGTGTTATGCCCATTTTATAGAAAAAGAAACTGAGGCCCTGCATGATGCACTGTCCATTGGGATTGGTTTTGGATGGCTGTCCCAAGTCTCTTAACAATCCTGTAAGTACTGAGGGTAAAGACTGCGTCCCCTTCAACCTCTGTACCCCACACCCCCTACCCTGCACCCATTTTGTGAAGCCAAAATAGGTGGGGCCTGGGTGAGCAGGAAGGACCTAGTATGATGGTGGTGGTGAAAGGATTATGCCACAGTGTAGACAGAGTAGTTAGATTTAGACTCTTACCTCGTGTTCGGGAGGCTTCAAGCCGGTAGCTAATTTTTCTAAGCCCAGTTTCCTCATCTGTAAACCAGAGATAATAGCAGTCCCCACTCTCCATGGGCTGCTGTGATGATTAAATGAGAAATACACGTAAAACTCCTAATAGGAGAGCTGGGTGGGCCATGTGCGTGCAGGACAGGTCAGCCGGGTGGCGCTGTGCTCTGGACTGAAGGCGGGGCGGGGTCAGGTCTTCGCTTCCTTACCTGAGGCAATGACTGTGCCCCAGCCTTACCAGCCTGGTGCTCTGGGTGCTACTGGAGTGGGGGTGGCACTCAACTGAGGGTTGGGGGCTTCACAGCAAATTCATTTCCACTCGCCCAGACCATCCCCTGCCCGCTTTCTTACCAGGACTCATGAAAACCCGGTCGCATTTTCCTTTAGCTCTTGATGAACCAATAACCTTGGACATCTGAAAATAAAACGTCTCTGGCCCCCACAGCCTACCGAGGTTGTGTGGCTCTGCAGACATTATAAAACATCAAATTAGATGGAAAATTGCCCGGGGTCCCTGTAAATGAAAATTACTCTTTTTTATAGGGGGAAAAAAATGACCCTTATAATCGCAACAAACAATTCCGGGCTCTTCCTTTTATTAGCCGGCTCACATGGCAAGCAGTATTTTCTCATTCCACCACTTTGGCTCCAGCCCATGTTTTTACCACATTTTGCTTTGCACATTTTCACAGCGTTGTAACGTGAAAACGAGGTTCTGCCCTCGTCTTGAGTTCCTGTTGGAAGGGGATGTTTTGCCTCTGCAAAGTTTTCGCCTCCTGGTGGGTGCTGGCTGGGTCCAGGCTTGGCGTAGGGTATGAAAGAGCACTGGATGAGGGGTTAGATGACTAAGCCTGCTGTGTGACTTCCAGCTAGTTGCTTAACCTCTCTGGGCTGCACTTTCTTCTTCCATGATAGGAGAGGGCTGGATTGGGTTAGGGATGGCACAGTCAATGCCTCTAGGTGCCAGCAAGGTGATGTCCATGTGTGATGGCCTCCACCTCCATGGGGTCACGCCAGGGCTTGTGGCCTCCCATTCATGTCCAAATCCCAACATAAAAACTCAGACATATTTTCTTTTTTTCCTGCAGAACCTCACAAGAAAATTTGGGAAACAAGGCAAAGAGGGAAGATGCTGTTGGCTCTAGCTCAGAGCTTCTCAACACAGGGCTGATTTGGGCCCTGATTTGGCCACGTCTGGGGTTTTTTTGGCTGTCATGACTGGGCCATCATCTGGTGATGCTGCTGACATCCTGTGGGTGGAGGCCAGGGCTGTGGCTAAACACCCCACAGTGCACAGCCCTGCCACTGACAAAGGACTAGGTGGCCCCAAACGCCCCCAGTGCCCAAGGCTGAGAGCCCTGCAGCAGGGCGGGGTTGGGTTGGATTTGGGAGTGGAGACTGGCTGGCCTGGGTGGGTCCCTGCCACTGGCTTGACACCCTGTGAGGCAAAGCAGTGCCCGTGGAGCCTTGGATGGCTGAGTCAAGGCCCACATGAGTCAGCAGGGCCCAAGCACAGCCTCCGCACTCTCTGGCTGTGATGGGCCTGCAGACTGACCTTTGTCAGGGGCTGGAGAACCTCAGACGCCTGCCACCAAACCCCAGGCGGGGCCTAAAAATTTGCCAGGGGTGGGGGTGGGGGACCAAAGATATTGGTTAAGTGTTGAGGAGTGAGGAAGCCACAGTGACTAAGCCGGGCCTGGGCGCCGCGGGCTGATCCTAATGAAGCCCAGCCAGTCTCTCCTTCACAGTTTTGACACAGTTAGAAAAACTTTCTCTTGTTTAACTGGAAACAGCCACCCACACTCACCCTCTCACATACCGGTTGCCTTCTTGCCGATCATAGGAAATAAACGAACCTTTTAAAAAATCACAAGTGAAATGTAAGGAAACAGACTGAGCGGGGGGGCGTTAGGGGTCTTGAATTCGGCCCCCTGGGCAGGAGAGAGCAGGAGTGAGATATGTGAGGCTGTGTGAGTCCATCCTGCCTCCACTCTGTGCTCTAGTCTGGAATGGGGCGGTGGACACAGGCTCCTCAAGCCTGCTGGCTCTCTCGGTTTAGGTCTCTCCTGATGGGAGTGGGAATCCGGGCAGACGCTGCTTCTCAGGGCCTTCTCACGGCTCCCTTCTTGGGACATTTCAGTCACAGATTTGTGAACCTGCAGTTTTGGGAGGATGCCTACAGGTCACCTTGTCCAACCTCAAATGCAGATGCGCCCTCTACTTTCTTCCGAAGAGGTCACATTGTCTCTGCTTGGCCGCTCCTGGGATGAGGGGCTTACTCCTATGCCGAGGCCAGCCAATTTCATTCCCAGACACCCCCTGGACAGCTCTGGCTTCCATGTGTGCTTTTTTTTTTTTTCTTTTCAGACAGAGTCTCTCTTGCTAGGCTAGAGTGCAGTGGTGTGATCTCGGCTCACTGCAACCTCCACCTCCTGAGTTCAAGCGATTTTCCCGCCTCAGCCTCCCGAGTAGCTGGGACTACAGGCATATGCTACCACGCCCAGCTAAGTTTTTTGTATTTTTAGTAGAGACGGGGTTTCATCGTGTTAGCCAGGATGGTCTCCATCTCCTGACCTTGTGATCAGCCTTCCTCGGCCTCCCAAAGTGCTGGGACCACAGATGTGAGCCACTGCGCCCAGCCTACCCAAGCTTTTGAATGCAGAGCTTGCTTTTAATGTGAAGTCACATGCCAAGTGGCCACCTGCCCTCCTCCTCCTTCTCTCTCCTGGGTCCCTAGACTCCCACATCCTTGGTCCCAGCCACCCTGGTGACCCTGCTCCCTTTCCGGGCACCTTTCTGTGACTTCTACACTTGCTGCTTCCTGGCTTGGACATCTACCTCACCCGGGAAAGCTCCTATTTATTTTGAATCCCAGTTTCTATGTCCCCCTGTCCCCCACCCCAAGAGCCTTGCTGAGGTTAGGAAACCATGAGAAAGGGATTTCTGTGCCCCACAGCAGTGAGGACACCCCCTCTTGGTCATTTCATATTCGACGTTAGCTCAGATAAACAATACTAGAAGATAATGTTTGCCAACCCCCCCAAGATTCACTCGCTGATACTAATCCAAACTTGTTCACTCATGTATTTGTTTGTTTAATTAACAAATATTTATCCAGCGCCTGCAATGACTTCTGTACTACAATAGATGCCAGGGCACAGCCAGGGATGAAACAGACAGAAGTCCTTGTCTCCGTGGAGGTGACATTCTGGTTGGGGGAGGCAGCTGTTAGGTGAAATGAATAAGTAAACTGTACACTGTAATAGCAATAGGTGTGGCGGAGAGGAATGAAGTGCAGACGGTGGTGTCTGGTGACAGCTGCAATTTGAAATCGAAAGTCCAGGGAGGACACACAGAGGGAAAATCTGGAGGTGAGGACGTCAGGTGAGCTGCTACCTGGAGGCAGGGCACTCCCCGGGAAGGCTGGTGTGTTCCAGGACAGGCAGCGGGCGCTGTGTGACTGCAGTGTGGTGGGCTGGGGAGAGGTGGGTCTGAGATCTGAGAGGTGATGGCCCAAATCCTGTAGAATCCCAGAGGCCATGGCTGGGACTCGGCTTTTCCTCCAGGTGGGGTGGAAAGCACTGGAGGGTGCTGGACAGAGGATGGTGTGGTCCGATTGCAGCGGGATTCAGTGCATCCTCTGGCTGCTGTGTGCAGAAGGAACAGTGAGGGGCAAGGCGGGAGCTGGGAAAACAGGGAGAGAGGCTGGAGGCTTGGTCCAGGCTGGGGGCAGGAGGAACAGTGAGCAGGGGCTGGATCTGGGACATAGTCATGGTGATCAGCTGCTGCAAGGAAGTCATTTTATTTTTAGCCCGGTTATAACGATGAAGTAGGAATGCAGAAAGATTAAGGTCACTTAAGTGCTAAAAGGCACTATGTGTGGTGCCCACCCGACCCATGCACCTGTCCCTCTCCAGGAGTGAGCTTTCCGTGGGCAGGCATGTGTCCCTCACTGGGCACGTTG